TGCTCTGTGTGTGTGTGTGTATGGGGGGCAGAGCAATCAGGTCCTGCCCTTGGTGGTAGTGGGCTTCTCTCAGACAGGGAAAGGGGGGTGTCTTGGCACACGTGAGGATCAGACAAAGCCAGAGGACGTAGGAAATGCAGACAACTATTGAGCTGCTCTGTCTCTCAGTGATAAATGTTTTCTGAGTGCTGACTGAGTAGCAAATGCGACTCTGAAGCTGTTCAATTAATTACTGTGCAATTAAGGCTTGCTGCTGCCCTCCCTCTCCCTGGCAGCACCTCTGCCAGTCGGCCTGCAGAGGAGCGGCAGCACCCTGCTGTCTGTGGAGGGGCTGCAGGACCAGGCTGTGGAGCCCAAAGGCAGCTGGATGCCCAGTGCCCAAAGCAGGAGACCGGCTTGGGGGCAGCTGTGAGGCCACTGTGGAAGATGCTAGAAACTAGGTGATGAAATTAACTTACATTCTTGGATGACCAAGACCTCCTTATTATCAGAGACCCTCGCTGTGCTGGCCAGCCGCTGCCCTGCAGCTCTCAGAACAGTCCCTGCCCGCCTTCCTGCTCAGCCCTGTGCTTGCCTAGGGGCCTTGCAGTCCCTTCAGCAGCCCCAGCGTGCTGTGGGTGCCGGCTGCAGAGCACGTGCAGGGCAGAGGGGGCCATTCCGGAAAAGATGCCCAGTGCCGTGGGAAGGCCACTCTAGAGAGAGGGGCCTCAGTGGGAGCCGGGAGGGAAGAGAAGTGGCAGCTTGAGGGGAAGCTCGGTTAACATTTCTGTAATTTGTGGTGGGTTTCTGGGCAACAGTATTTGATAAGGGGACTGGTATAATCCACCTTAGCCACAAGCTCAATTACCCAGAGCAGAGTTTACTAATGACGCTAATTGAGACGGCAACATAAGCCAGCACACTGGGAGAGCAGTGGGCGGGGCTGGCCGGCCATCACTGACCCCCACTTCTCGGAACCCGCAATTTAGGATTTGGCCTGTACATGTTGCTGGGGTTTTACATCTTACGTCTGGCTGAAGCCTTTGAGGTAGAAATTTCTGGGCCAGGTCTATGAAGAGGTTCCTGTGGTGAGAGCAGTGGTAGGACTAGTTACGACCCGAGACCCTCTCAGCGGCCTCCAGTGCCATCTTGGGCCAACGCCAGGCTGCTGTCTGCTTGTAAGGAAACTGGTCTAACCCTAGAGTCTGTCCCTACCCTCTGTCCGCATAGGTTGGGCTGGCCTTTCTCACAGCCATGACCTTCTGCTAATTTGTAACAAGTCCCCCTAAAATAAACACACAGGCTGGGCGAGGCAGGCCCCGCCCCCTTGGGGACCCCGCCCACACTGGGTGAGCACTCTCCACACACAGGGACCTTGGCCTTGCAGGACCAAGTCACTGGGCTGCGGACGCTGCACTGGCCTCTGCCTTGCAGACTGGGCATTAGCACCTAGTCCAGTGTAACTTTCAAGGGCTTTTAAAAAACTGTGAAAAGAAAGGCCAAAAAAAAAAAAAAAATCCACAACTCTCTATATAGAAAAAAGGGGTTAAATTGTAAAACAAAAGTGGGATGCCAAGTTACTTAATTTCACAGACAGGTTTTTGCTTTTTTAAGGAAAGACGGTCTGTGTGTGTGTGGAAAACAAAAACTTAGCTACTGCAGCGCCCTGCAGAACGCAGACACTACAGTGTCAGGGGAGAGGCGTGGATGGCGGGGAGAAGGGCTGCTGCAGCTGGTTCCTACGCACTCGCTGTAGCTTGGAAGCCAATTTTCTAGGTCTAGCCTAATCGGGACATTTAACCCTGCTGCCAGATATTACAGCAGTTAACCCGCGGTGCTGTCCCCAGAGTGGCCAGCCCCCACGCTGCAGCCCCGTGCTGCTGGACGCCAAGGCCAGGGTGAGAAGGGGCAGCGCAGCTTGGTCAGCCCGAGATTTTGGGGCTCTACTAGTATTAAGTTTATTGCCCTCGGAGTCTTATGGGGTGACTGGGCATCTTGAATGTCTCACTGACAAGGAACGTGCAGTGGAGCGAGTTCGCTGTTTAGGAAAGTGAGGCTGAGGAGCTCTGGCTTGGACCCCAGGCCAAAAAACTCCTTGAGTTTTAGGAGTCTGTTTCTGCTCCCCACACCACAGTTTCAGCTGGGGCCCACCCCTCTGCTTGAAGCACGTATCAATTCCTAAATTTAGGCAAAGTCCATACCGTACCGAAACACCCTCTTACCACTGCTGAAGGTCCAGCCTGCAGGACCACTCCAGCACAGCTGCTTAAAATGAAGGCTCCATAGGAGTCCAGGGCTGCCAGCAGTTCCAGGGGGCCAGAGCTAGTCCGTGGGAGAGATATCCCAAAGCCACCCCAAACTGCAGCTTTGCCAATTCTTACATTCTGATAACTCAACACAGGTTAAACTTTTGTCTTGCAAAACCGTCAAAGTAAATGTATAGCAAGTTGTTGCCATCACACAGTATTTGAATACTGCTCTGTAGTTATCCAACCCACAAAAACTCGCTGCAAGCACACCTTTGTCATGGGGAAGGGAGAAATTCCTGATGCTGGGCCCACGGGTGTATTCTCCCCTCCTCCCTTTGCACTGGAAATTGTAGACACAGTCGGTGGTCGAGTGTAGGGCTGGCCGTTCAAGAGGGCAGGTCCTCTGCAGAGGGGCAGGCAGGCCCATTCAGATGCTAACTACAGCTTGACCAGCAGACAAAGGAGCTGCTGGAGCCTGCCAGGACTGTGCAAAGGAAGGTGGCCAAATGGCAAGAGGGTTTGCAGAGTCTACACGCAAACCCCAGGCCTGGATGGGTTGTGGGTGCTTGGGGCAGGGGCAGTACCACCGCCTTCCCTTGCTTTCTGCCATCTCTCATGGCGTCTCACCCTGATGGGGGTGGAGAGAGAGTGGGTGGGGGAGGGGCCGCCTGGGGGAGGGGCCGGTGCTGCTGATAGGTAACAGGTTTTCACCATTAACTTGGGTAATTCCTAGAGGGCGGGGTCTGCGAGTCAGCAAACGTGTTAAGTTCCTAGGTCGCCTCAGACACAACCAGCCCCCAGCAGGCTTCTCTGTAAAACATGGCGGGCAAGCCTAGGGGCGGGAGTGGGGGGCGGGAACTAAGCACAGAGCACTTGAAAAGTTGCCTATTCATCCTGCAACAAGACAACAGGCTAACCTCGCTCCTGATGACCGCCCCCCCCCCCGCCTGGGAAAATGGCTCCCATCCTGGAACGTTAAGACCACGCAGCCAAATCACCGCGCGCTTGTCTGCTCCCAGGACCCAGGTCGTGCTGCAGAAGCAGCTCGCCAGTGTTGACTTCAGTAGAATCGCTGGCTTTAAGGGACTCCCGTTTGCCTCTTTTAAACCAAAACAGGGCACCCAGGGGGCTTGTTTGCTGCCTAGGGCCGTGGCGGGTCAGCCTCAGCCTAAGAAGCTTTGGGGTGCTGCGAGCCCCTCCAGAAAGGAAGATGGAAAGCATTTGCCATCCATCCGGCACCATCCCCTTCTGAGGAGCGCAAGAACTGACTGCTTTCATTCCGAGCCTCGGAAACACTAAGTTCCCCCTAATCATTTGCCAAGAGTAACTCAAACCAGCGCAAAACGAGACACACGCGCACCAAAACACAGAAGAAAACCAATTTCTAAAGTGGACGGACTTTGTAAACACTTCATTTACTCTGCCTTCCCCATCCCCCCGCAGGATCGGCGCGACCTCGGACTGCAGCCATGTTGGTGCCTGGTCACCCGAGCGAGCGGTCACCCCTCCAGGTTAGATTCCAAACTTAGCTCCACCCGAGCTGAAAATGGCCGGAACGCAGCGCCTCCCCTTGCCCTCTGAGAGGCTGCCGACCCTCTCGCCCCAGCCCCCTCTGTGCCGCCGGCTCCAACACCTTTCCCTAGCCCGACCGGTGCCGTGCTCCTCCGGGACGCACTGTGTAGTTTGTCCCCCATCGCCCCTTGCAGCCAGCCAGGCTGGCACCTCGTTGGGCTTTACCTTCCCGCTTGCGACCTCCGGCTTCATGAGCCTCCAGCCTCTCGGGCTTGGCGCGCACAGCCCCGGACCTCTCCACCCGAACAGCATCCGGCGCGTCGCCTGAGCGGCCGCGCCAAAAGGCTTGCGACGCCCTGACGGGACCCAGCCCGCCCTTTCAACCCTGGTAGCCCGTTGGGCACCTCCGAAGTCCCTGTACCTCCTGTGCCTGTCCCCCAAGTGCCAGTACTTCCCTGCAGCCACGGGTCTGCCGAGAGGAGGCTGCCCTGGGGCGCACGGGCAGGTGCGCACGCTCTTTTACGGCCGCCTACAGCGCTTGGGCGCGCAAGGAGGCGGGCCCTGGTGGGCAAGCCTGCTGCGCTGGGGCGAGGGGCACGGCGCCCTAGTCCCGCGGCTCCAAATTAACACCGCTGGGACTTAGGCGCCTGGCTCCGAGCCGCAGCTGCTTAGGCACGATTCGTGCTTGTGACTTTGCTCCGCTGTCGGCAGACTCTGGCGCTCTCTGCCAGCCCCATTCTCGTTACTTTTTGCACATTGCAACAGTGTCGCTAGGCGCGGCTGCTCGCAGATCGCCAAAGTTGGCGCGCGCCTTGGAACCGCATTTCTGGCGCCCGTCTGAGCCCGCTGTTGGGAGACTGACATTTCTAGGAGTGAAAAAAGCATCAACAGTGACTTACCGTGCCTCTGGGTGTTGCAGTTCGAAAGCTGGGCGCGCTCCGACGGTTGGTCACGCGTCCGCGGGGCGCCCTCTCAGAGTCCGCGGGGTTGTCTCCGGCGGGGCGCAAGGAGCGCCGCGCCGTCCAACAAGCCTTTGGCCTCCGGGGCGCCCCAGGTGACCTGGGAAGGCTGGGGGAGCCCTGGCCACCCCCGGATTCCACTCGGGGAGGTGGAGCCCACTCTTGCCACCTTGCTTCTTACCTATCCCCCTGCCCTGCCCTTCCTCCCGCAGCTCCCACGTTGTTTGCAGGCTCCCCATTTGGGCGGTGGGCAACCTACCTGAATCCATGAAAACAAGGAGAATCTGGACGGCGTCCTCCATCAGTGACGCCGGATGGGGATGGGTCCCCGCTTGGGGGACTCCGGGGACGGGTCGCGACGGGTGGGCTTCTTGGGTCTGCAGCGGCGCTGCTGCTTCTTGTCTCTGCGCTCCTCTGACTGCGCGGGGTCGCTGGAATTCTCTGCCGCGCGCTCCGGCTCCTCCCCCTCCCTGGGGCTGGGGGGATCCTGAGGGATGGGCTGCGCGCGATTCGGGGAGGCGTCGGGGCTCCGCAACTTCAGAGCCTGCAGGCGCTGGGTGAGAGACTGGTTAAAGGCGGAGCCCCTGGGCACCGCGGGACCGCGCTCGTCTTCCGGCTCGGTCTCGGGCTCGGTGGCGGGGGCGGTCTCCGGCTCGGTCTCCAAGTCGGTCTCGGACTCGATTTCCGACTCGGTCTCGGTCTCGCTCTCGTAGTCGAACTCTTCCTCGTACTCTAGGCACTCGGGGAGGGAGAGGTCAACGTCTACCTCGTCGTGCTCGTGGTCAGATTCGGACTCGGGGGACTCGGGGAATACCTGGGGAGGCGAGCGGTGGTGGGCGTTGAGGAAGCTGCGGCGCTGGGCGGCCGCGCGCTGCTGGGCGCGGGCGCTGGAGGTGGCGAGGGCGCGGAGGAGCGCGATGGAGCAGGACAGCCAGAGGAGTGCGGTGGCTGCCCGGCGGCCTATGGGCGGGCACAGGTCGTTGTAGTTATGGCGAGCTCGGCGCCACTGCTGAGCCCGGGACCTGCGATCCATCCTAGGTGCGCACCGGGAAGCTGACCGCTCTCTGGCTCTGCAGAAAGCGGCGCCGAGGAGCAGAGGAGGCTGAAGAGGGGGACACCGTCCGAAGTGAGAAGCCGAACCCGGAGGTCCCAGCCCCACCTCGCTTTGAGGAGCAAAAGGGAAGTACCTACCTTGCTGGGCACTTGCGAACTTTGTGGAGCTCCGCGCCACTGCTTGCCTGTAGGAACAAAAAGAAGGGATGAGAAAGGGGCGAGAAGGTTTGCCTTCCCCGCTCCTCCCGCTAAGTCCCGACTGCGGTCAGAGACCAGGGAGAGGAGCCTGCGCCGATCCTCTCGCCAGGGAGAGGAGAGGAGTCTGAGGCGAGCGGAGACTGGGCGCGGAGGTCCTAAAGAAGTTGCGCCGGACTCGGGCTGGGCATGTGCAGTAAGGAGCGAGGTGGGGGCTGCCTCCCCGAGCTGCGCGTGGCGCCGCGCCCGCAGTGCAGACCCTGGCGGGCCGGCAGGTGGCAGGCGGGAACCTTGTTTGAAAGGATTCGGCAAAGGTATCGGCGAGGGGCCCGGCGGGTGCCGAAAGGCAAGCGAGCTACCCACAAGTCAGGGTCCCTTGGTGGCGGGGCGAACGTTCCCTGGGGTCGGTACCCTTCCCAACCTCTCTGGATTGTCCGTGAAAGGAGTACCTTCTGGGGCAGCTGAAAAACGGATGGCAAAATTGCACTGTAGTCGGGGGACTGAGGGTCTACCAACGAGCGTTAATTTAGCAGCCCGGAGAGTTTTCCAGGGGCTTAATAGGTTGAGCATGGGAACCCCAGGCAGTCGTTAATCACCGCAGCCCCTTGGGCAGGCCTGTTGCACTGACGGGTTGGAGACGGTGCTGGCTGGGCAGCAGTTCCTTCACAGACAACCAGGGGTCCTGCTTGAGGGGGGTCCTGGCAGTGGGGGTGTGCCCTCTCCTGAGCCCCAGGAGGGAACACACCTGAGTGAGGCCGCTGGGCCCGGGAGACAGTCTCTAGCTGCACTCCCAGCCGGCAGCCTCGCTGCTCCCAGGGCTCTGCAGGATGTTCTGCCTTGGCACACCTCTGGCCCGAGTCCGGAGCGGGCGAACCCTCGGGCAAGTGTTCCTAACGCACCCAGCCCGGGCAAGCTCTGTTGGAGGTGGGTGATAAAGGTTGGGTCCTGAGGCAAGGGCAGGAACACTACTGGAAGAAGGGAGATTTAGGACTAATATGCATGTTGCTGATGAAAATAGGAAGCCGTTCTGAATCCCCCCTTGCTTGCCAGTGTGCTTGAACCAGCCTGAATTCTGCACGAGAGAGGTTGGATCAGCCAGAGCATTCAAGCTAGGGGGTGGCCGGGGACCGTGAGATGCACCCTCAACTCCCAGTGCGGGAGGCATTGTGGGCTGTGGCGCATACAGGAGGCACTGCCACAGTGGGAAGCCCTGTGTTTCTTGGGGTGCCCGTCTCTTCAACCTCGCCCTTTCTGTAGAGAACGCACCATGGCAAGTGGCCCTTGGGCTCTTGGGCATCACCAAGCCTTCCTCACTCAGACGCAGCCTTAGACTGGGTTCTTGTCTGCTTGAGTCCCACAAAGAGGTTCTACCTAAGATGTGGCTCCCCATTGGAGGTGGTCTGCCAGACATGCCCCCTGAGCACCTACCTGGTGGCCTAGGGCATCCTGTGCCCTGGCAGCCCTGCCCACTCCAGCCCGGACCTCCCCTCACTGCCACGTCCCAGCAGCATCTAGCCGTTGAGGTTTTCGTTGCTGTGTCTCGTGTCTTGGGTTCTAGGAGTTGGTTTGTAGAATTCAAATACTGATTGGCGTAATAGGGTGGGGTTGATCTGCTCATCCCCGTAGAACGCACGCCTGTGCTCCAGGAGGGACCTTGACCCTTCCCAGAGATGCTGAAGGATTTCACCGTCACAGGCACGTACGGGGTGCTAATCGTTGGGTGCACGACTGGGAGGGCGCCCTGGACAGAGGCGTCCGGAGAGGGGTGCTTCCCGTCCCGAGCTGTCTCAGTCCTCACTGTCCCTGGTATTCCTTAGGGTCCGCTAAGTTTCGCCTGCCTGCGTTCTTTCATGGACACAGCTCTGCTGACAGCGTGCAGAGCATAGAAACCCACTGGTCTGGCTGATCTCTGGAAACCAGGTGGGGGAAGTGTGGACTGTGGGTGCTGGGAAAATGACCTTGCTGTGGGAAGTGACGGCAGCTGTCAGCGCCGAGGGCTGCGATTCCTCAGTGTGGGGAAGGGCTTGATGTTGGGTGGGGGGGGGATGTTTTTCCGCCTGGGAAGGAGGTGGCAGCCCAGAGCCAGCTCACCAGCATAGCTGCACAGGGATGGCCTGTGTTATTGAAAAGAATGTAGATTGCATCATGCATATTTTTGGGCTAGAATCTGCATTAGCAATGCTCTTTTCTTTGCAAGATGCATTTTAATCAGAGAGGAGCAGCCAGCAGAGCACTGCTTTCGAGCCCCCTCATGGAGCGGTCGAAGGCATTTTGGTGTGCTCCAGGAGGGGCTGGGGACCCACACTGAAACACTGCTGCATCTCGCACTTGGTGCCGAGGCTGAGCAAATGGACCTCTGAGAAAATGCTCTTTAAGATGTATTATGTGCGTGACCCTCAGCAGTGCTTGCAGCAGAGCACGTGGGTGATGAACGACCTCGGTTGTTCCCGGCCTCCCTTGCTGTGTGCTGGGGAATAAAGGGTGCCCTGCATCACCTGGGCTGGGCCAGGGGGGCACGGGTGCGCTTTGCGGTGTCACATAGTGAGGTGTTTATTTGCGTGGCTTGTGGGGAATACTGTCTTCAACCATGTGGAGTGACTGCGCTTCCAGAGAGCCAAGTGGAAACCTGTGGTTCCTAGTTAGCCTCGTCAGGCTTCAGCTGAGCCCACAGCCGAATACTGTTAGCAATTACGGCTCTGAGGTGGGGGAGGCTGTCGGGCGGCTGCTGGCTGCTTGTCGGGAGCGGTGTTAGACATCGCAGACCAGGTGACCACTGTGGAGACGCATGGGCCCGGCTGGGGCTGGAACGCGATGCCCGCCCAAGTCCTCAGCTGTGATCTGCTTCCATGAAAGGCATCCCGAGGCAGGGGCTCAGGGGCCCGGCTGCAGGACATGCTCTTCGGGCTTGCTTCTATTTTGGAAGCTCTTGAAAGCTCGTGTAGCTCAGTGACAAGAAAGAATGCTTGAGTGGCAGTTTCAAGACACGAGCAGACAGGTGTAGGCGGGTGGGTGCAGCGACCCGTTGTCACGCTTTCATAACTGGGGCAGGGTTCAGAGGCCCTGGGCTCCGCAGCTCACTGGTCGGAGCGAAGAAATTAGTCAAATCCATCTGTTCATTACAAAAGTCCTCTTCGCCTCCGAAATTACCAATGAAATTGTCCCTTTAGCAATCATGGGTTGAGTCACTTGTATGACCAAGACTCTTCGGGCATGGCGCGGGGGGCAGAGGGCTGAGCCCCAGCACCGCGCTGTGATGTGAAGTGCCTTCCTGATATTAAAAGCAGTAAATTCCCCACCACACAGGCAGACAGGAGGGAAGCTAGGACGGAAGGGCAGTCCTCGGCACGAGGGGAAGCTTCATCTCGTCTGATTCGGAGGTTTCACCGGGCCTGAAAGAGCCGCGAGAAGGTTGCTTTCAGCGTACCCACGCCTGGGTGCCCGGCCCCGGCTGAAGCCACCTTGCTGGCAGCCGGGGAGATGGAGCAAGCGTGTGGGGTTCCAGGAGGCCTTCGGGCCGTCAGCTCAGGTCCTGTCCACACCAGCTGAATGTGAAGGATGGGTTCTGCTGTGTCCAGCACTTGAATCTGTTTTTTGGGCAATCATCGAAAAAGTCTATTTTAGGCGGGGAGCTTTTCAGACTTCCATTTGGGTAGAAGTAAACTCGGGGAGCTTGACTTGTTCCCCAAGCCTGGCAGGCTCACCCCGCTGAGGATGGGCATGGGGGCCAGGAGCAGTGCGGAAGCCCTTCACTTGTTTCTCTAGGGCAGTGTCGCTGTTACTCAGGCTGCACTGTACTCCTGGTGCTGTGATGGAGGGGATGCCATCTAGAGTGGCCGGCATGCCTTACGGGGTGGAGGGACGTGATCGCCCTTCCGTGATGCCATCGCGTGGCTGAGGATGAGTGCTGAATGGGCCACACTGTGCAGGCTGGGAGTGGGCCTCTTCCTGCACTCTGGGCACCCCCGGCCTTTCTCCAGCGGGGAAGGAACCGTTTCTAGACTCCCGAGTCAACAGGCAGCATGTGCAAAACCTTGGCATGGTGTCCCTCTTCTGCTCTGGCCCCGAAGCCTAGCATTGCATTTTGCCTTCATTGGTCCTGGCTCTGTCTGCCTACCCTTGACTTACACCTGCCTCGCCTGTCTAATTCTTTTCCATGGTCGTCTGAAACATGGTTACCCAAAGATGCTTCCAGAGCAGGTGGCCCTGACCTGAGCAGTCCCCCTCTGCCCTGCCTGGGGCTGGGGGTGCTGGGGTGAAACACTGTTGATTGCCAAGGACCACTCTGGCTGGGGCATTGCCTCTCCTGGACAGCCCACCTTCCCCCTGGCCTCCCTCTGGAAGGGAACTGAGAGCCTGGCTTGAGGAAGGAGGGGAGGTGCACACATGCAGAGGGGACAGACCTCCGAGTGTCATGGTGCAGGCATATGCTCCCAGCCATCCTCTGAGCTCGACCTCTTCAAACTGTGATTAGACCAACATTATGTGTCTACTCACCGAGGCTCCGCGAGATTGGGACCATTTCTAGATGTGCAAGTGAAGTGGAGAATTGAGGCAATTATCCTCAGGCAAATGAGGCTGGGCTCTGTAATCAGTCCGTCCTGATAACGGGGGGAGCGCTGCCTTGAGCTAAAGCAGACTCCAAGATATTTGTTTGTATGTTCACTTTGTCTTCTGTGAGAGGCAGTCTGGGGACCCCCGGCTCCTGCTGTGTAGGCGTGAGGATGCGTGGCTCTGCGTTGTCAAGGCCAGGGTCAGCACCCTGTGCAGTTGCCGGTTACAGTCCTG